AGCTGGAGTACCGCAGTCGACGGCGAGCACTTCCGGGTTCGACTTATCGCGTCCAGACTAGACGCGATAAGTCGAACCCAGAAGTTCGATTTCCAGCCGTCGGACTTGCGGGTAAGTGTAGCCAAGGCCTTACTCAGTTGATTTCAGTGGGACTTGACAAATGCTTAGTTCTCTCCTGGACAGGGATTTTTTTAAATTGAGGGATGAAGATACTGGAATTGGGAAAGGGGGAGAGAGAGAGAGAGAGAGAGCAAAAGGTTCAGTAGCAAGGGAGAGAGTTGGAAGGAAAAGGAGTGAAGAGATCAGGGGAAGCAGAGTTGGAGAAATGAAAGAAAGGCAAAGAAAATGTGTGAAATCCTGGTTCCATTGAAATGATTGACAGAACTCCTATTGACTTCACCCAAAGTCTTATGTTGGTCACAGACAAGAAGTGTTGACTTTTCAAGGCTTAGATAAGCTTCTTTAAAGTAACAGGAGAAATAATAAGGCCAACTCAACACAAATGTAAGGGAAAAAATGGCATGGCACTCAAATTTGGCATGGAACTTTTTTAAAAATGGCATGGAACTTTTAAAAAACATAACATGCTTTATGATCTTCAGTGAATTTGTTTTAATGCATATTGGGGAAATAAATTAACAGGGCTCATTCTAACATCGACACACATTATTTTGTATTTTGTTTCCCTGTCGTTTCCCCCCCCCTTCCCCTCCCCCAAGTATGACTATTTTAAAAATACATTGCATCATCAACTGGCAAAATTTTTGACTACTTGAAACCACATAGATTTCACAAAAGCAATCATCTTTAGCAAAATTGGCACTGGTTGTGGTTTAAGCAAAAGCAGACTGAGTAATTTTTAAACAGATGAACATTGCTGAAGAATTTTTTGCAAAGTTTTATTTTTCTTATTGACCTCTACTTTCAAGCAATGTTTGTTTAGCGAAGTGAATGCAAATAAAACATTTCATCGTGGCTTGTTTCAAATTTAGTATTATAAATAACATAGGCTTATTCCAGTGTTTTGGTTCCTGGAATGGTTAATGAATATTATTTATCCCTTAGCTTTCTTTTTTCAGTATTATGCATTTTACTTAAATTTAATACTACTTTGTCCTAGGAACGTTCCAGCTATGGGGACATACTATTCAAGTAGACTGGGCAGACCCAGAGAAAGAAGTTGATGAAGAAACAATGCAGAGGGTTAAAGTGTTGTATGTAAGAAACTTAATGATCTCTACTACAGAGGATGCAATTAAGGCTGAATTTAACAAATTTAAGCCAGGAGCAGTTGAACGTGTAAAGAAACTGAGAGACTATGCTTTTGTTCATTTTTTCAACCGAGAGGATGCAGTTGCAGCTATGTCAATTATGAATGGAAAATGCATTGATGGTGCTAGTATTGAGGTAACACTGGCAAAACCTGTAAACAAAGAGAGCACTTGGAGACAGCATCTTAATGGTCAGATTAGTCCCAATTCTGAAAATATTCTAGTTTTTGCTAACAAGGAAGATGGTCATCAAAAATCGTTAGGAAAACCAGCAAATCTTTCAATTCGTCTTAATGGTCAGCACAGTCCAAGCCCCCCTGAAATTGAAAGGTGTACTTACCCATTTTTTCCAGGGACAAAGCTTACTCCAATTAGCATGTATTCTTTAAAATCCAATCATTTCAGTTCTGCAGTAATGCATTTGGATTATTACTGCAACAAAAATAACTGGGCACCACCGGAATATTATTTATATTCAACAACAAGTCAGGATGGAAAAGTACTCTTGGTATATAAAATAGTTATTCCTACTATTGCAAATGGATCCCAGAGTTATTTTATGCCAGACAAACTCTGCACAACATTAGAAGATGCAAAGGAATTGGCAGCCCAGTTTACATTGCTACATTTAGGTAAGTTTAATAATTATTTTTAATTAGTTCTTAAGAATTGAACCAGAGAAGGTTACTTTAAATTTGTTCTGTGTGTAAATAGCCTACGTCAGGGGTTGGCAACGTTTGGCACGCGGCTCGCCAGGGTAAGCACCCTGGCGGGCCG